AAGAAGAAGAAGAAGAAGAAGAAGAAGAAGAAGAAGAAGAAGAAGAAAAAATTTGGCTTTCCCAGTTTCCCACTTCTTTGGTAGTCAGTTAACTGGAAGAGCAGAAATTAATGGAACCCACCATTGCAAACAGGACAGACCAAGAAAAGCCTAGCCATTCACCTAGGTTTTTGGCTAACCCATCACATCTCAATGGTGTTCAAATTATTGATTATGAAGTTGGGGATGGAAAACAAACTTCCATTTTGGTTAGGAAAAGGAAATAATCCTCAGTTGTACTAAAGAGACAGAGACCCCAGAGGCCTTGCGTGGCTGTGGCTAGTATAAGCCTTTCTTTTTATTCCCTTGTTCAAAGGACTCTCATGACCCATTCTGGTCCTTCATCCTCTCAAGTTTACAAAATTTAAGAACATGAACTGTGTTGAGGAAGGCATTTTTCTCCCCAAGGCCTCACTAGCTGGATTTTGGATGAGTTCTCAATACTCCAGCATGCTCCAGTCTGAGTAATTTCTCAGCATCTTGAGTCCTAAGTGCTCCGAGACCTTGACCCCGTGCCTCTCCCCCAAACTCCCAGAGCATCTACAGGAATACAGGTATCTACTGTCACCTCTTCCAATCAGGCTCATGCCTGAAATGTCAATGAAGCCAGCCCACAGATCCCAGGGCAGCCTTATGGTGCACTGTGGAACCTGGGAAGTGTACCCCTGGGAAGCTGCTACCCAGGCCAAGTCATTCTCCGCATTTCCCCTTTACTTTCCTTCTTGTTCAGACTCCTCTGAGTCACAGTCATTATCCGTGTATTAGTTGCTCCCTGCCCCCAAGAATAAAACTAAACAAACCACAAAATTATCACCAGCTTGCAGGTTCGTTGTGACTGCCCTTGGCTGGTCTACATGGAAACAATTTAGGGCAATTCACATCAGGGAAGAGACAAGGCTAGCATCCTGTGCTGAAGAATGTTAGATTCACCGGAACAGGTCCCCAAGCTGCCTTTACTACAAGCCCCAGGGGGCATAAGGATATTATAAAATGAAACTCAAATAAAATCAACACACCCTACAGCCCTCATGAAGGAGACTAGTTCATTCTAGGGTGTTGACTGTCATTGACTTTCTGGTTCCCACCAGTCATGGGAAGTAAGAATTGTCTAGAACCCATGATGTAGTGCTCAGCAGCTGACACTTTAGAAGCCAGAAGGTGGACCGGATTGAGTTGATATGCTCTTGACAACTGGGGGAAATCTTCCTTTCCTGTGTGCATCATGTATTCCTGTAGGGGCTCAAGATTTCCCTTTAATAAAGTCACGTGTTGCTATAGGAATGCAAGGGGGTGCTATAAGGATTCCAAGAGATAACTTTCTCAATGGCTTCAATTAAAGGAACCCCTTTGAAGTCTTTGCTGAGGCTTCCTCTTGGAGCCATTAGGAAGTGCTTTTCAGAGGTGAAATGTTTACTCTCTAGGCTTGAGTCTCAACAAGTAGCTCCAATCAGTTATCTCAGTTCGTTCATGAAGACTGAAGACTATAAAAAGCCTCATAGTTAGTGATGTAGCAAAGGGGGAAAGAGCGCTGTTACCACGATTTAGCCCCGGAACCCCTTTTCGCTGTTCCCAACAGAAGACATGCCACTAATAACTGAGCAAGCAAATAAATGGCCACTCATACTAGAAAGCCACTGGTGGTGGATGCATGCCAGAGTGTACGCAGGAGACAGAATTCTGCTAAAGTCAGACATGACATGGGTAAAATGTTGTAGGGATTCGCAGAACCTTGAGGCGGGGGGGGGGGGGAAGCCCGGGGGCCCCCCCCACCGTGTTGGGGAAGCCCTCCGCTTCCGGGGGGATGTAGTAGGTTTGTAAGGAATGTGCTGAAGTGGAGCTGGTGGTGGCCAGCTGGCTCTGGCTGGGCTCCTCTGGAGGCACTCCCATGCGACTGGCTGGAGCATGAAGGCGGTGAGCATCCAGCATCTCCAGCAGCAGGTCATAGAGGGGCACGACGTTCTTGCATTTCATGTTGTAGAGATGCTCCATACCTTTGTTACTGGAGGAGAAGGAACACAGAAGGAACTACATTAGACCATGGCTGAACCCCCAGGAGAGCTGAAAGAAGGAGGACGAAGTATGAGAAACTCCAAAGGCACATGGGAGCCATTTTTTTAAAACCTACTTAAGGATTCATTTTAAGAAGACAACTGTAGAAGTTTAAGGGCTTCAGAGACCTCAGACTGGGACTTGTGTCTATGCATTTTCATTTCCTCCATCCTATAAGGGCACCCACCCCCACAATCATACTCTTCCTTCCGATTCTTTTAGTGGGTTTTCTATGTATTTTCCTCTCTATGATGTAACCAATGTTGAATGTCAACTTGACAAGCTCTAGATATCTGTGGTTGTCTACAGGATCGCTTCTAGATTACATTAATTGAGGTTGGAAGGCCCATCCCTAACATTGGAGGAATTGTTCTATGGGCTGAGGTCCTTACCTAAGCTTTTCAGTGGCTTCCTATAATATTCAGAAATTAAAAATCAAATTTTCTATCTAGGCTCTCTGAGGACCAAATGACCTGCCTTCATCTTCCTCACAGAGGACCCTGAGTGACATCCTGCACTAACTCTCAGTCATTGGTCTTTGACTTGCTCCTTAATGAAATAAAGACCTGTAGAGACCTAGAGAATACGACATTCTGTTCTCTTTTCCAGAATAAATTTCCATGGAATCTAAAAATGCCTCTAGTGACCAAAAGACCTTTGTTGCTCCATGGCAATGGTTCAGTCCCTATTGCTCAGGCGTTTCCTTCCACATGGCCCTAACTTCTACCATTACCCAGAGCAGTAAATGCTGCTCACAAGAGGAAACAGGGAAGAAGGTGGGGGAACAGAAGGATGCAAGCAAATGGCTTTTCTTTTTTCCCCCTGTTTTCTTGTTCCTCTTTGCCCTCTCTGCCACGTGAGCAGTGAAGGCAGGAAATCATAACTCTTCCATGGCTTGAAAATTTTTAATAAGTATATTTCCGGGTGTGATAGAACACACCTGTAATCCCAGTGCTTGGGAGGAGAATAGGGTAAACATTTCAAATTCAATGCTAGCCTAGGTTGCCTGGTGTTTTCTAGGGTAGCCTCAACTGTACAGTGTGAACTCATCTCAAAATAACGAAAATTAGAATAAAACAAACTAGACTACAGCCATGTATATCATGAACAGGTAGAACTAAGAAAATGTTCTAATAATTTTTATGTTGGTGGTGGTAACAGGCCAGCCCATGTTTGATTGGTGCCATGAAAACACATGAGAACCATCAAGAACTGAAATCCAAATTCAATCACATATTTAAGTGTTTTCTCTCTCTGTCTCTCTCTCTCTGTCTCTCTCTCTCTGTCTCTCTCTCTCTGTCTCTCTCTCTCTCTCTCTCTCTCTCTCTCTCTCTCTCTCTCTCTCTGTGTGTGTGTGTGTGCTTTGTTTTTTGTTTTTGTTTTGTTTTTCCTTTTAATTTAAAGCACCACTCGAATTTAGTTCCTGGCCCTGTCACTGTCTTTCTCCAACAGTCTAAGGAATCACATTTACAGTCAGATAAAATCTGAAACCTGAAAATGTTAAATTATCTATGCTATGGCCCTAACCCATGATTAGGGCCAGGCTAACAGCAAAAGACTCCTATGATTCAGATTGGCTGCAGGGAGCCAATCTGGACAAAACCAGTATTTTGGAAAGCCATATGAATGTGTATGAATGACACCGAGAGAGAGTAGAGAGGAGTTCAAACCTTTGAGTAAAAGAGTCACCTATCCTTCATATTTCACAATGGAAAAGATCTCTGTCATGCCATACCCCCTGCAATACATCGTCAGTAAAAGCAGCCATGGCTGGTGTTTATTGCTTACTAATACTGATAGGTCACAAGCATAATGGGTTTGTAAACTCATTGAAACTTTATCAACAGCTGAAAAAATTCAAAGACGTCATGTGCTTTCTATAAATCCCTCAAAGGATATGTCATCATGCTTTCTTCAAGGGGAAGTTTACTCTCCAGCCACATATTTTGGCAGCACTCTGTTCTTCTGAGCTATTCTCTGCTTCCTTCTCTATGATACCATCAGAAGAAAGAGAAGAGAAAAAGAAGACATGCTTCCCTTGATTGGGACCACGTACTTGTGGTCCACTATCTAGCATATGGGACTTACCACATTATCTTGCCTAGATCGTAAAACATTACTAGACATGGCATAGTCAAAGTGTTAAGCGGGTTTGGCTCAAATGGATTGGCTTTCTTGTGTCTCTGTTGATACTAGAATATGTCCTAGTTAAGCTGGGGTACAAGAAGAATGGTATGCATAAAACAGAATCATCTGACTGGGGCTTGATGCAGGCCTGCTACCTGTGTCACAGAGATGTATAAGTGAGCCCAGCTGAGACCCTCTGGGGACACCCAGTCAATCTGCAGCCAGCAGTGGTGCTACATAAATGACTTGAGGAATAAATGTTACGGTGTGGCTTCAGTTATGAAGGACACCAAGAAAGATAATTACGAAGGACCGTATCACAAGGAATAACATAAACAAAACAGAGGGTGACATGTTTTATTGAAAAGTAATAGGAAACCCCTGTAAGGATTTAAGTACGAAGATGATAAGATCTTGATTGGTTTCAAAGTGAGCACTCTGGTGGCTTCTTAGGGGATTCAATAGAAGAGATTGAGATTAAGAAACATGTTAGGTCACAGATTAGAGTAAGGACAAAGGACGTCATAGGAAGTGTTTCATAGCTATGGAGGCATCAATGTTGACTCTGCATGAGGGTTTTTTTTTTCTTTTTCCTTTTCTAACCCCAGGGCTTTCTTGTTCTGCCTTCCCTAGTATAGGTCAGTAGGAAGTGATACCTCTGAACCATAACAGATGTGCCTGAAGCCCTGAGAGATGGCTTATGCTCACACCCTTTGATTGACATGTCTCTTCTTATTGTGTGTGTTTCAAACTGCCACTGCATATCCTTTCAGCTAAAGTACCCTCCCTGACGCTTCTCCAATGTTCCTGGCAGCTTCTGTGCCACCTCTTCTATCCTACCCTAGCTTTTTGGTTCAGACATTTTTTCTAAAGGTACTTTGCCAACTTAGCATCCTGTCTTGCTTTGGCTGTCACATAGAATTCGTTGGGTCAGCGTCTTTTATCTCTACTGCAGGACCCAGGGCTGCCTCACCTCATGTGCCGGATATGGGAAAGAATGAGGAGGAGCTGGGCCAGGCGGCGATGCTGCTGCTGCAGAGTCAGGCCAGCTTTGGCCATCAGGTGGATCAAAGTGTCTGTGATCTTGTCCAGGACACGGTGGATGTGGTCTTTCTCTTCCAGAGACTTCAAGGTGCTGGACAGAAATGTGTACACTCCTGAATTCACAGAGAGAAAGAGAGAGAGATTCAAAAAGGACACATTCATGGAGACAGAAGCATTTCTGGGATGCCTTGATGGGCCAGGGAGCTTCCTCTGACGCCTCTACAACATGGAGAATAGAGTGGACATGTTTGACACATTTGACAAGAGATTACGTGGCATTCGTCATGAATATGCACATCTTTCCACATCAAGAAGGCAGGATGGACTCTTGTGTCTAATCCAAGATTCTCTAAAAAGGACTATTGATATTTCAGCCATAATGGTAGCATGGCCATTCCTTCTTGGGTAGATCTAACATCAATATGAACTGTTCATTCAGTGATGACCACAACCTCAAGAGGAAACCATCATTGCTTCCTTAGAGGGACAGAGAAATGTGCTACTTACAAAGAGGACATAAGTGGTATGTTGGGATACTTAGGCTGTACCCAGTATGCCAACTCCACATCTGGTAATGATCGGCAGACTGTCCCCCAGGAAACACAAGACACCCCTTATAATAAGCTTCACAAGTAGTTATGAGTAATTGGCTAAGTGACTAGAAGGTAATTGCTTGAAGTGGAAGTTATTTTGCTTCTACATATATTTGCATCCCCTAAAATAAGTCTACACATATTTTCATCTTTACTGAAGAGTGGGTGACATGGGTGTGGCCAGAAGACTTTAGGAACAACTGTTTTTCCTGCCAGGCAAGTATGTCTTCTCTTGACTTTCTATCGCCTCTGCAGAAGGTAGGCTATGTAGAGCCCTTCATGATGTTCATTTCCTCTGATTAGTAGCAGTTCTGAGTTAGGCAATCAGAGCACCACTCTAGGGAGAGAAGCAAGGAGGCAGTGAAGAGTGCTGAGGACGATGGAAAGAAGCGCTGAGAATGATGGGAAGGCGGGAGGGAGCATGGTGGTTGTTCTCAGGTCTTCTCTCAACTCCATTTGCCCTCTGTGGTGGAAATAAGCTCCTCTATCCTGACTACACAGCCTTACAGGGCACACATGATGCTGGATTACCACTAGGGTTAGGATAACACAGCAGTGTGGTTTCATACTTTCTCTGCTTATCTTGCTAACCAGGTCTTATAACTATTTATAAGAGTGCCTTCATGGTAGAAGCTCCAGGGTATTATCGCTCACTGACATACATGCTGATATTGTGACAAGTGACAACCTGAGGGTTGAAAACGAAGAAAATATCTATACTGAGAAACTCGTAGTAAACAGTTGTAGCCGCCTAGAGTAGAAAATGGCCATGTTTTTTTTAAAAAAAACAAAAACAACAGAACAAGACTGTCTCAAATCTTGGCTGATGTGGATCTCAGGAGAATCTCAAAGCTTCTGTCACAGATAGGCACATTTGTTCCACAGTAGATACTGCACAGAACATCAAGTAGGCTAGGGCTTAAGAAAGAAACTGTGCATAAATTATAATGTGAGTCCCAACTTTTATCTTTCTGACCTATTGTCTTTTTAAATGCCCACGTGTTCTTATTTACCTTGGTGGGTTATGTCCCACTTTTGATCATATTCCCTGTTTTCTGGCCACTGAATACTGGACACTGCCCTAGGCTATAGTTTGAACCGCTCACTATCTACATTTTAACGTTAGAACCTTTTATTTCTTTAAAAACAAAAACCTGAAAGGTCATTTCTTTAATCGGAAATTTTTTATGTTACAAAGACAATATATGATCACGAGGGGGATACTTTTTAAAATTGTGAAGGTCAAAAAGAATAAACAGGATCAATAGTTGGAGGCCTTTTGGGAATCGTCACAGGATGATATACATTCTTGACGTATTTCCACTAGCAGCTTCCTTGTGGACTGGCCAGGGTAGACTGAAGAGTCTGCTGTTGTTGATTCATCCTGTTTCCTAAGACAACTCAGTCCAAGTTGGCTGAATTGCTGATTACATTGCTCTCAAATAGCTACATGGGTGAGGACCGCATTAAATATCTGCAGAAAGATGAGTGCACAAGTCTCTGGTTTGTGTCGGCGGTCGGTGATCTCGGACCCTCCTGGTAGAAACCCATTGCAGACACTCTTCAGTGCTGGCAGCCAAGAGCAGAGACTTGTGTCTATTCAAGGGTTTTCCCCTGAGCCTGTAACCCACTATCTCTTTTTAATTTACTTCTCAGCTTATTTTTATCTTTACTTCATGAAGGCCTAATTGAATAAGGTGTAACTGTAGACTGTTGACAAATATTTCAACTCATAACGCTATCATCCAGCTTAAAGTGTGAAGCATCTCAGCTCCAGAAAAATTCTGCCTTGCCTCGTTCCAGGCTAATGAAGCCATTTGTCCTTAACCAGAACATCGACTCTTCTGCTTATGCCAGAAATCAGCACTGTGTGTGAGAATGTTGCCCACTATTTATATGGGATTTATATTCTTATCCTTTTGCAAGTTACCACCAGGTTAATGTAGTAAATTGCCTCTATTTTCTGAAGCTGTGATGGACCCTCACCCCTAGTATAAAAAACTAACCATTTCCTGCATTTCATTGGGCCCCTCTTTATCCCTCAATGCACTATAACATGTAACGTTTGAAACCCAGTTTTTCAGGAAGCCACAGATAAATCATGAGGGTTGACACCTGAAATGATACCATGGTGCCTCACAAGATTCATCTGAACTGTCTTCTTGTTTACAAGTTTATGCAATCTTTTTTTATTAGATCACCATCTGAAATTCTTTAAAAAATCATTCATGTACCAAAAGAATATGGTTCATATACATTATTTTTAAAGAATAAATAAATACATTGTCTGAGAATTTATCATTGGTAGAGAAGCTTTGTAGGCTGGATCTTGTGCTTCTGTCGTGGGTCTCTCTCCTTATTGCTAGGCACTGCTAGTTTTAAAATCATACTTTAGATATTTTTATGGATTCAGTGTTACTGAAATGTATATTCATTAACTATAAAACTGTTATAGACACATATATAGTTATATATACATGTTGTTTCCTTAAAAACTGTTACATTCTATACTTCTGCAGTGAAGTTGATGAACAGCATATTTTAAAGATTTGCTTTATAAAGATAGAGGCATTCCTGGGATACATTCTGCCTAGATTCCATCTGGACCACTGACAAAGAAAGAAGGAATCCATCAGAAAATAAAGTAAGTGTTGAGTGGTCATGGAGTTAGCTTGGACATTGCAGGTGGCAGGGAGGTATGCCTTGCTGGACTGGTGTCAGGACTGATCTCAGTCAAGCTTTCCATGGCTCTCCGTCTTATATTCTGTGTGTCACCACTGACATCACTGTCTTGTCCCTAGAAGCCTTACCACAGAATGAAGGCCTGAGAACCTGCCCAGCCCCCTAAACCTGAGTTAGTCCAAGCTGGGTGACGAAATTTCGAACTAATTCCATTTTTGTTTCGACCCAGGATACTGGTTCCATCCAACAGTAACCTCTTTCTTGTTCAAGAAAACCTTAGAACATACCATCTAATAGCTTGGGGGCTCCTGCCAAGGGAGGTAGCCCTCCCATTGCTTCTCTCTGCACTGTGTGCCATGTGACAAAACACACTTGTGCAGAACTTCAGGAGACTCTACAGCCAGCAGTTTATTATTTTTATTTTTTTATTTTTTTGTTTTGTTTTGTTTGTTTTGGTTTGTTTTGGTTTTCAATGCAAGAAAAAGACATGACACTCTGACTCGGCAAGCCATTTTTTTTCTTTTGGGCTGTCATTTCTGGTTCTCGCACAGTGCACACACTTGTCTGGGTTCCTTCTTCCAGCAAGAACCTATTATGTTATCTGACAGGGATTCCAAGCTTTATTTCCTTTGAAGAGTTAATATTTTACCAGAAGATTCTGCCCAAGGAGAGAGAATTATTTTTTTAACGCCAACTCCCAGAATGGAGAACATCCTTCTGAGTAAGCCTGTTTTTCTAGACCTGCTTTGGCACCAAATCCACTGATCATCTTATCCTTGTCAGCAGGCACTTCCTAGCCATGCAAATATACATCGAAACAAAAATGCAGTTCTGTCCAAACGTCAGTAATTGACAACAGCCACCATCATCCTTTTGGACTTTCCTGACAATACACAGTCCCTGTTTGTTGCCTGTTGCTGCAAACAATTGTTTAAGGAGCTGTTTAAGAAACTAAAGCCACCCAGAGTCCCAGAATGCTTCAGGTGCTCTGGTAACCACTGTTACTAAGCATGAGCACAAGAAAGCTGCCAGCTGATCTGTGTCTCAGGCATTTTCTGCCGTGCACCACACCACAATTTCCAGAAGCCAGGGGCCATTGTGTATAGAGTGAGGGCTTTCGGGAAGACACAACAGGCCAGGCTTTAGCCACTTTGCAGTCTGTGCCAAACCCCAAAGCTGGATGGTCTGTCATGAAGCATAGTTAGCAGACAGAACACATCCTGCCACAACTAGGAGACAGAAGAGGAGTCTGTAGAGGATGTAGTAAGAGGAGACAATGCCAGAGAAATCACAGGGATACCCTCAAGTATAAGGAATTGTGTATGTGTGCATATATGTGTGTGCCTTCATGAGTGCATGCATGTGTGTATGTGTGCTTGCACAAGTACATGTATGTACACATGTGTATATGTGTCTGTGTGAGGGAGAGAGAAACAGAGAGACAGACAGACACACAGACAGACACACACACACATACACAGAGAAAGAGAGAGAGGGAGGGAGGGAGGGAGAAGAAGAGGGAGAGAGAGAGAGAGAGAGAGAGAGAGAGAGAGAGAGAGAGAGAGAGAAAGAGAGAAAGTCTGGGGTGTGAACTTTGTACATCACACACTCCGGGCAGCACTGGTACTGGGCAGCATGTGCAGCCCTCCAGTCTCCCATTTTTGCTTGAGACAGGACTTCACCCAGCTGCCCAGACTAGCCACGAATTTACTCTGCTATCTAGACAAGCTGTAAACCTGGGCGCCTCCTGATTCAAACGTTTTAGTAGCTAGGATTATAGGACTACAATACCAGGGCTGCCTAGAGGCGGCATTAGAGATAATGAAGCTTTTTCTCAG